ATGTCCTCGACGGTGTGTCTAATGTCGTACCGGTAATTTAATTACTCATCTTAACATCATCTCACGGTATGTTGAAGTGTGAAAGTGAGATACGCGAATGAACTTCATCTTCCCCCTCACGTATAAATTTGTCTCCGATATTAAATTAGTCGCCGAGTGTTTCGAGTGTGAGAATGATTTAATGTCATCGTGAATCTAATTATATCCTTCAGGATGTTCTCTTCTGACTGATTTAATTCTCGCTTGACAACATGACACGTTTTACTCCAGAAAAAAAATAATAACTTCGAGAATTATTTCGGTGTCGGTTTGGCTTCGGCAAATTTCCTTTTTTGTCATTTCGCCCTTTTTGAAAATTTGTGCAGGAGATTTAAATTGCTTGCAGAATTCAAAATGCAACTTCTTACAGTGTTTGATTGTCGAGAACTGAGTAATTTTCGCTGATTTTTGTAAAATACGAAAATATTGAATGGGCTTGGGGGTTTGAAAAAATGTTTCGATGATCCGTTTATGAGTGTCTTAATATTTTTTGACGGGAAAATCTTTGAAATTATGAAATGATGGGCCATCATTGGAATACAGGTGTGGACTCTCTACACAAAAAAACTCAACGGACCAGAAAAAAGTTTGTGTTTTGGGGGAATTTCGTTGTGGAGAACCCCTAAAATATTGGAAGAGAACCCTGTGGAACCAGGAACAAATTTTGATGTTGAGAGAGTCTGCCTATGTAATGATTTATATAGTGATGGTATCCTGAGAATAAGCTTTCGTACCTCGGAACGATAATTTTTGCTGTTTCCGTGATCATTTATTTATTATCAAAATTTTTGGCAGGTTTTATTATCCGATGGGTCGCCCGAAATCGGCGACGGAACTGGAACAGGCGTGTCGACGAGTCGCCGATGCGTTCGACTCGGTTCGCGTCGGTAAACGCTGCGCCCTTCTAAAACGCTACTAACGCTTTCGGACACTAAACGGCGACATGGAGTTCCGGGGCGACAAAAAGACGCGACACCGGGTCCCAACGGTGTCGGGGCCCGTTTGGTCGGGTTCTCAGGACTCGGTTACCATCGGCAAGCAGGAGTTTCTCGACTTTTGGCGCCGGTGCGTTATTGGGATCGTTGATAATTCCTGGATGTCTTGGCCCAGGGTTGCCACAGCCCCGGGCAAACCACGGGTTCTCAGGACTCGGTTACCATCGGCAAGCAGGAGTTTCTCGACTTTTGGCGCCGGTGCGTTATTGGGATCGTTGATAATTCCTGGATGTCTACATTTATTGTTTCGTTTGTTATTATTATTATTATTTCGTGCCTTGGGATTTTCGAGGGTTTTTATTTATTTCTTGTGAGGTTTTCAATCGAATTGTTTTTTTTTGTTTTTGAAGCAATGGTAGTGTTAGGGTCAAGTGAGTGCTGAGCTGCCCAACTTAACCCATTGTACCTGCTGTGGGCCACATTTGGGATTCAGGTGTTTTTTTTGTCCTCCCAAAAAATACCATCGCAACAAAAATTATGTAAAAATGTGTCAAGGCTCCACAATGAAGTTATCTACAATTCAAGACCTCATTTGCTAATTTGTATCCATTTTTCATTTCACTGCAACATGTTTTCTGGAGCTAACTCACAAATTCTTGTGGAAAGTTGAAACGTGATTTTTTGAATGCAAAAAGAGTATTTTCTAATGCAGCTAACCTCAAAATGTGTATGTCCTTGTAGCCTGGTTAGTTCCAAATTCTTTGGCTTATTTTTATTTAATTTTCTGATATTTGGATTAATAACAGGCGCAAAACCTTAATCCCCAAATGCGGTTCATTGCAGGTAGCATGTAAAAAAAATAATTTTCAAAATTTCCTGAAAATGTGTCAAAAAAGTTTCCTTATCTTGAATATAACTAACTGCTGAGCATGCAAAAGTAATTGTAAAAGCATGTGAAACAAAACAAGAATTTCTGTAAAATCAATTTTTTTCTCAATAGATGGTAAAGACAATTTCTCTCATTCTCGGATGAATTTTTTGAAGATGCCCATAAGCTTTTCAACTTCATCTAACAGCTGGAAAATCTTGACAAATCACTTGGTTTATAGGCTGGATGATGATCATAGAGTTTTTTAGCTTTTACAATAAAAAAGCTTTGGAGATGTTTGGAAAATCATGAAAAAATAGTTGGGCAATTTCATTCCTGGTGGCATTAGAATGTCACAGAAATGCTGTATGTTATTAATGAGTATGTGATGTATGTGACTAGTTGCATAATTAATGAGAGTTATATTATTTTCCTTTGTTTTGTTTGTTGGGGTGAGGTTTAAAAAAAGTTTGATAATTCTTAATTTTCTGGTGATGAATCTCTTTACTGAACAAAATTTAATTTAACAGTATTTCTGCCATCCTAGATTTTTTTTTTTTTGGTTCAACTTGATTGTGACCAGGATTTGTTTCTTTTTTTCCAGGACACTCATGACCCATCATGACGTTTGCGCCCAGTTCATTCACGTGTTGTCCAGAGGAGCCCCGAGGGGATCCAAGCCTTATCTTTTGCCAGAAGACTTGGTGGCAATGGTGCAAGACATTGTTGACACTCATCCTGGACTCGCTTTCCTCAGGGAAGCCCAGGAGTTTCATTTTAGATACGTCAGAACGGTGGGTTCGTCGTGGATTTTATTGATTTCTGTCCTGACAACGGAAGGAAAGAACTGTACTGGCGAAAGTATGAGAATTTTTTTTTGCATTTTCTGAGGTTCATATTCCCCCCGCGGGGATCCTGTCTCTTATTCTGTGCAGAAAAATAAAATCTAGCTCGAGTTTTAAAAAAGAATAAGAACAACTGGCAAAAGTAAGAAAATATTTCAGCATTTTCTGAGGTTCATATTCCACGCAAAGATCCTTTCTTTTATTTGGCGTAAAAAATGAAAGCTATCCCAAATTTTACGATATGATGATTGAAAGAATCAGAATTATTTGATATAAATGGCGAAAGTTTGAGAATATTTCAGCAGTTTGTAAAGTTGATATTCCACGCGAGATCGGTGTCAAAAATAAAATCTATCCCAAATACAAGAGAATAAAATTCTATTATCAAAAGAATAAGAATTTTTTTTCATGTTCCACTCATCAAAAGAATAAGAAGAATAAAACTGGCGAAAGAATTCAAGAATATTTTAGCATTTCTTTAGGTTAATACTGTATTTCTTTTATTTGGTGTAAAAAAATAAAAATCAGCCCAAATTTTACGAAACGGTGAGACTTTATGATCAATAGAATGCGATTTTTTTTTCAGTTGTCGACTGATTTTCAGCGCCCTGTAAAATTATTCCATTTTTTGCAATTCTAACCATTGTAGGGAACTTGAATATAATTCTACAGTTTACTAAAAGAAATCGTCCAGGAATTATGAAAAAATTTAGCTGAACCTGTGAACGTTATTCTGAGAAGAACAGAATTTGCCTGATTTTTGCAACTTATCTGTCAATGCAATATTTCAATTCGAGTGGAACTGAAACAACCCTTGCTTTTTTTAATTTTTGCAGGATGTTATAAAATGTTCAGGAGTCGATTTCAAGTATCAAATTGAGTTGAAAATGGTGACTTTTCTTTTTAAAGAAACCCCTCTGTATGTTGGAAACAAAAAAGTGCCAATTTTTTTAGTTTAGACACACACACCAATTGAAAATTTTCTTCCCATTTTTTTTTTTACAGGTGATAGCGAGAATTTACTACTGTGTGAATCGGTCTTGGTCCGGAAGAATCACTTTGCCGGAATTGCGACGCTCAAATCTTTTGCAAGTCATTTCCATGTTGGAGACGGAGGAAGACATCAATCAAATCACCGAGTACTTTTCCTACGAACACTTTTACGTCATTTATTGCAAATTCTGGGAATTGGACCGAGATCACGATCTGTTCATTGATCGTCTGGACCTTGCCAGACACGCTGATGGAGGTTCGTCGTCGTTGTGTCACTTTTTGGGGATATGCAGTTGATCCTCATGCAACTTGACCAACTGGAATTTTATTTTTTTATTTTTTACAAACTGTTGTCCTCGAAAAAATTCCTTTGTTATGAAAAGTGGTTCCGAAGTCTTATTGGAAATCTACTGAACAATGCTGGGGGATTTTTTTCAGAAAATAATGCATGATTTTTTTTCAATACATTTTCAACAAGAAATTTAAAAAAGATTGCCGCAAAAAGATTTTTCAACCTAAAATCAGCAATAACCAAAATATATTCGATCCAGTAACGAAAATATTTCCCGCAAAATCTTGCTTTTTCTGAAAAGATGAAGAATTTTGGACCGATTGCTTTTTTTTTCAGTGCTAGAATTGTAGGCACTGCCATTTTCGTTGAGCAAAAAATGCTATTATGGCGTGCGTGAGAATTTTTCATTATCCGAGGTACCACGCATTGTAGAATCCCGGCCCCTCGTGGGTTTTTTTTTTCCGTGTCAAGGCGCCGTTCCCGTCTATGTAAAGTTTATGACACCCTCATTTTGAATTTTCCGGTGTTTGAGCTGAGGGTTCAACCAGGAATTTCTCGTTTTATCTTGCAGCGATTTCGTCGAGGATGATAGACAGGATTTTCAGTGGAGCTGTTACCAGAGGTCAAGGACACACCAGAGGACCGGGAAACCAACTCATGAGGAGAAGTGAAGAGAGGCACAGGATGTCGTACCCAGAGTTTATCTGGTTTCTCATTTCCGAGGAAGACAAGAGGCATCCGACTGCTGTTGAATATTGGTTCAGGTTTGTGACAAGTTTTTTTTTTGTGCTTGAAGGGGTGAGAAAAAAAAAGGGGTACCGTATTTAGGAGGGTTGTCCCAGTTGGACGCGACCTCTGGTATTTTTTGAGTTGGTGTTTTTGTAAAAAATGAAAAAATCATTGAATAATCCATGATGTTTCAAGGTTGTGAGATATTTTATTACTTTTAAAAAAGGTTTTAAAAATATTATTGGGGAATACTGAACTTCCCAGTTCCAGCCTAAGTTCTCCACTCATAAGTAACAGGATGCTGAAATTTTGTCAGGCTAGCTGAAAAAATAAAAAAATGTAGAAAATGTAATGGCTGAAATGACAACAAAATCAATTTTGTATCTATAGCCTGATGAATTTTTAGCACCCTGTGGCATTTTGTCATGAACCATGTCATCATTGTTTCCTTGCAAAGAATATTATTTTTTATCATTTTGTTTTTTACATTTTTACAGATGCATGGACCTGGATGGTGATGGTTACCTGAGCATGTATGAGTTGGAGTACTTCTATGAAGAGCAGGTGCAACGCTTGGAGGCTATGGGAATGGAAGCTATGCCTTTTAATGACTGTCTTTGCCAGGTATGTTGAACTGTTCCAGCATTATTTACCTTTTCTATTTTGTATTAGTTTAAAATTGTCAGTCAACCATAAATGTTTCAACCAAATACTTCTTTGAAAACAGCCTTCTCTCAGTAGAGTGAACTTTAAAAAAGTGACTCAAAATAAAATTTTGAAATTGAAGGCAAACTTCTATTATAAGTTTAAAATGCGGTAAATATTTTGCCTTATCCTGCTTCAAAAATGTTGTGAGCTGAAAATGTTGGCAGTTGCATGGTGAAATAATCAGGTGAAATTGAGATCTTGTGGGAGTTCCTGCAAGGGATTGAACGTGTTTCTCTGTAAGAACTTGAAAGAAACTTGTGTTTTTACAACAAAACCTCATTCTCCAGTCAGTGGATTAGTTTTTGTATTCAGGAGGAGGAGGTATCGCATCAGCATGCTGAGAAAAGTGGGATTTACTTTTGCAGATGTTGGACTTGGTGCAGCCTGCCAAGTCAGGGATGATCTCATTGGGGGATCTGAAGCGATGTCATCAGACCCCGATCTTCTTTGATACATTTTTCAACCTGGAGAAGTACTTGGAGCATGAACACAGGGATCCCTTTGCTGTCCAAGCTCGAGATCCTGACAATCCTGAGCAGCAGGTGATTGAAGTAACTATCCCTTCTCTATATTCTCGCTTTCTTTTTCCTTTCTTTGATTGAATGATGAATGAATGAATGGCTTGTTTACATGACATGTTATATTTTTTTCAGTTATCCGACTGGGAAAAGTATTGCATTGAAGAGTATGAGCAACTTGTGGCTGAAGAAGGAGCAGGTGATGCCACAGAAATGTAAGTGTACAGTATTATAATTTTTTTTTACATGTTCTTGAATATGCTGGAAAATCTTGTTACAACAAACTCCTAGAGATATGAGAAAAAAAATTTTTAAACAAAAAGTCTTTTGTGACATGATTTGAGGTTCCTTTAGCTGCATGTAAGACTAAACTTGTGTGGTTAACTGATAATGGATGCATCAAAGTACAGTACTGTACTTCCACAACAGATATGTGCACAAATTTCCAACTTCTTCTGATGAAATAATGGAGACAATTCAAAATGGGAAATATAATTTTCTTATTCATGACCTTATTCCCTTTGTGAAATTTTTCAGAAAATAACCTGATCTTACAATCAAGTATGAGCTGAAACAAATGTTACATGTATACAGTATGTGTAAGAGGAACACACAAAAAATCGTTGTTATGGAATTTTACTGAACAGTATTAAAGAAAACTCCCCTTTTTCTTTCTAGAATGTATGATGACGACATGGAGGATGAATCTGGAGATATCGATGAATTGTCTCCAAACCTGGATCAGATCATCATTGTTGATGCACCGGATGGCAAGCATATTGTCACTGAGCCAGATGATGATTTTGCTGACTATGCTGATGCCTGAAGCAGCATTTGTGCCGAGGTCAGTAGAAAGGAATTATCCTAAAATGTATAGCGTCAACATTTTATGCATGGTACAGTAATGTAATATCCATTTTTGTGTGATATGGTGTAATGTGTAGGAGAACATCCAACAAAGGCTGGAGTTTCACAAATTCCATTGAAAATGTTGAATAAATTTACCGCATTCGTAATCATGCTGCAATTCAAGTTGATTTGATGACCAAGACTGCCATGGAATAACAATATTTTGAAAGGATTAGATCTACGTAAGTTTTGTATTAAGAAGTGTATGTAAATTTTTACAATCTTGACTCAGTGAAGTTCCGAACGGAGATTTTCGTCGCACTTTCTTCACACGTCAGTTCTCTGCATTCTGAAATGTATTTTTGTATGTTTTATGAAAACTAATTTGTACATGTGTGTTTTTTTTATGCTGATTACAGGTGATCTCTGTCCCAGCTGTTTACTACCGTTGTCGAGATTGGAGTGAAGACCAAAAATAAATCATGCCACCAGCGCTGATGATCTCTTCTGAGGGGCTCAATCTTGTCAACTGACCTGCTGATGGAACTGAAGCTGAAGAGTCAGAATTCTGGTGCTTTTTTTTTTTTGCTAGATAAGTAGTGCAGAAGTGACGAAAAAGGTGAATCCATTGTGAGGAGGAACTGTCACGAAGCAGGGGTGATGAACACCTGTGCCAAAATTACGCGTTGCCATTTAAAATTTTTCATAGTTGTTGGGACTCACATTGTCACTGTGATCTGCCTGTTTGACGCAGAGGTTTTTTTTTCGAATATGTTCGTTCCACTGAAAAAGACAGTGTTATCAAGTGCCAAGGATTTTATGCAAGGTGTGCATGATCTTCTGATTGATTTACTTTCAACGACTTCAGCCATCATTGAGGTCATTTTCATCAATTGGTAAACTAATGAATAATGACTAAGACACTGAAATTTACTAGACACGGTTTGGCTGTTTGCATTTTCTTTTTGTACTTGTGATTTATCTTTTTGCTCGCTCATGTGGTTGTGTGAGTATTCCTGTTCTGTCCTTGAGCTGAAAGAGAATTTCTTCAGCATGAAGTCAATCAATCGTCTTGCAAGAAAGTCAAAAATAAACCTCTGAATTTTTTTAGAGCCATTCTTTATTCACACTTCATTATTCATGACCAAAAGTTGCTCTTTGGAGTCGCAGAACATTTTTCGCGCGTCGACAATTTCGATGGCAAAAATTCGCTTAAAACAAAGTCAGTCGAATTTATCAAAACTCTAAAGTAGTAAAACAAACAGGATTGCGTGGGGCGTGAACTAAAAATCTCTTTTTTTTTCGTCACATTTTGAAATCTGGATTTCTTCAACATTTCAAGCCTCATTCCATTTAAAAAATGATTCATATAACCTTCGAAACTCCATAAGTTCACACCTCTCTCTTCCATATCGACCTGTATCCACGCTATACTGTACAGTACAGTACTGAATTTACACTTCCCTCAACGTAGCACTGAGTGGAGTTGTCACGCAACAAAAGCTCACCCTTAACTGCGGCTGCTTCTTTCAGAAGAGCTCCCAGTGACATAGAACGAATGATCCATACTCTCATCCCCATCAGCAGAAGGCCTCGATGATGAAGAAGAAGAGGAGCTTCCTGATACACCTCTAGCAGCACTGATGCTGCTGACGCCTGCAGCAGATGCAGAACTCGAGAAACTCCCATCTGATGCACCCTCAACTCCTCCTGCTGCCACTGGCACATCCATCATCGTCGACTGCGATGACGAGCCTGGTTCTGCTGCTTCATCAGTCTGAGACAACTCTCCGGTACCACTCGACATGATTCTAGCCCTCTTATTAGTCGAACCACTACCGACTGACACAGAGCGATGAGAAGATGGTCCCACTGGGATTCCCCGACTGTGCAGAGAATGGTCCGAGGTTCTCGCAGTGAAGTGAGATGTGTGTGCAGCAGACAATAGTGGAGATGGTTCCAGGGAAACCGCTGATGATGCTGGGCGAATGGTTGACACTGAAGCGTCTCTCGATGATGGGGTTGGAGGCGAGGGCACTTCACTGAAACTCAGGTTCGCGACGATGGGTTCCACCACTGCTGCTTTAGTTGCTCTCGATATCTCTGGAAACGCTTGTAGGTTCATGTGGAACCATCTTGGTTGTACCTGCGAGAATTCAAGTAGAGTAATAATTTTAATTACATCATCAATTGCAGTACTTTGACTTGCGGGGGGTGAAACGAATCTCATGCATTTCTTTTCTCAGCAATTTATCCCCCATTCATCTTTCAGTTACAGTATTTTATTTGTGACACTACAGTATTTTATTTGTGACACTCGGCTGCCTTCTGGATTGAAAATTGAAGTTCTGAAGAGGTGGTTTTATAACATACCGTAGTTTTTATGCATCAAAACCACGCTTTTGTTGATCGATTCAATTTAATTGAAGAAACGTGGTTCGGAACAAAGGTGAAATTTCTTCCTCGTTCAGAAAATACTGAAAATCCTCCGTATTCGCAAGTTCTGACAATTTTTCTTCTCTGTAAAAACGTTTGTAGGGGTGCTGGTGATTCGTAATGAGAAATCAGTTCATGCCTGTGCTTTCATTTGAATTACTGAGAACAGAAGCAAGACTCGACGAATACAGTAAAATGTCCTTTTTGATGAGCCATTCAGTTCAAAGATTATCTGTTCACGAATTCAACAGAAATACGAGGGTTGTCCCAGTTGGACGCGGCCTCTGATATTTATGGAGTGAGGGTGGTTCTAACTGAATTTCCTGACATAGCCCATAATGTTTAAGGTGGTAGAATTGAAAAAAAAATTCCAATTTACTGTACGATTATGACTGAAAACTTTCCAGTTACAGCCGAAGTTCTCCGCCCATTTGTCACAAGGTGCTAAAAATGTGTCACGCCAGCTAAAAATTGAGTTGTAATCATCTAAAATGTAGACTGAACAATGGTTGAAAAAAAATTTTCGTTTTTGAGCTGGCCTGAAAAAGTTTTTAGCACCCTGTGGAATGAGTGAACTCGGGCTGCAACTGGAAAATTTTTACTCATCATAATGTTTTCATCATCATCATCATAATGCAGTACAGTCAACTAAAACAACTTCTTCATCAAATTGAAAGGAAAAAAAATCCAGAACATTACAACAACATGGGTCACGACACCTGCCTTTTTTTCAACGATCAAACATACTCCAACTGGGACAACCCTCTTATGTACAAGAATGTCCTACTTTTCCAAAAATGCGGTGAATTCTTTTTGTATTTTCATTCGAAAGATAAACCAAAATATGAAAAATTCGAATTTAGATCACTTTTCTTCGTTATTTCTTCAAAAATTGCAATTAATCACCAGCATAGAGTACAGTATGTAGCAGTTTACCTCTTTTCTCTGGCCTTTGTTGGAAGCGACAGCCATGTACAAAGCGTCACAAGCAGCCAACGTCCTTTCCCGATGTGAAATGACAAACACTTGACTGTCTCTAGCAGCCAAGTGCTGCAAGTAAGTCCTCAGGTTCATCAGCGCCCTGGCATCCAGGTTCTTATCCACTTCGTCCAGCAAAATGAGCGGGGACTTCCTCACACTAAACACATATAGATACAATGATACATATGGGCCCATTAGCGAACGCATAAGAAATTTTCGAACACAGCGTTTTAACTCAATTACCACGCTCACGTTTTTTCTCAAAATCGACAGGGGGAAAAAGGTTGCACATCATAGACGGGCGTTTTTCTCAAGTTTTACAAGTTAAAGCGTGCATTACGTATGATTCTAATTGGAAATTTCTGACCAACATTCGTATTTGCAATTATAGTAAATGCGTTGAATTCTGGATATATTCACATCTAGATTCAAATTTGCGTGTTCTCGTATCTGTGAAACATTTTGGTTTTAAAGTCACTAAAATGGGGTGCGCGTCTCACTTGGGGATAGGATTTTATAAAAAAAAAAACGTTTAACCATGTAACCCTGGTGTGCATCTTATTACCGTATTTACTCGAGTTTCCCAAAACCAGTGCCCCTCACATCAAGTAAAAAAATTGAACAGGAAAAGTGTGGCTCCAAGTCTCTTCCTGCATGGGGAATACTGGCTCAATTTATTTCATCCCTTGGAGATGCAACAGCGGAAGTAAAGGAAGGGGGTGATACTCATCTAATTGACAAAGGTGTCCTATATTGCAAATGCATTTTAACTGCTTCTGTAGATGGAAAAAGACAGAAAGACAAAATATTCATGAGGAAAAATGCATTTAAAAATAAAAAATTTTCACGTTTTTTCATTTTCAGCAACATCAAAAACTGGGGTGCGTGTCTTACACAGGGATAGGTTTTTGAACTGATTTCTGGTGGAAAAATGGGGTGCGTGCCATACTTGAGTAAATACGGTACTTGAGGGCACATGGTACTCTAGTATACAAGGGCTGGATTATAAAAGATGATAAATGGCCACTTACCGTCATCAGAGGTGCTGGATACCATTTTTTCTTTTGCTCTTCAATTCTTCATGGATGTCTTAATAAATTTTCCATCAATTACTCAGCTACAGAAGGAAACAAGAAAAACACCTGGATCACAGTGAATACCCCCCACTGAAGTGAAGTTTACCACGTAACCCCCAAAGTCATAGAGCATGCAAGAGTGCTCATTCAGCTACTCTTGATCAATTAAACTTCACTTCAGTGCAAGGGATTCACTGTGATCCAGGTCTTTTTCTTGCTTCCTTCTGTAGCTGAGTCATCAATGGAGAGTTTATTAGACACCAATGAAGGATTGAAGAGCAAAAGAAAGAATCCATCTGCCTCCAATGACGGCAAGTGGCTGTTCATCATCTTTTACAAACCAACCCTTGTATACAGTACATCAGTATAATGTAGCTGTATTACAGTATATAGAGCAGCGTTCCCCAACCTGTGGTCCGCAAACCGGGGCCGGTTCGCAGAAGTTTTTTGCAAGTTCGCGGGAAATTTCTCCAACTTATACATTTTTAGAAAGTACTGTACAGTAATTAAGGACATTACAGTATTTTTATTTTAAATTTTGGCAAGACAATCAAAGTTAAAATTATCTCATGAAAACTATACCTTGGCATTCCTCCAACAAAAATATTTCCGACAAATTTTGGCCTGATTTAATAGACTGTTTTAATTTCGGAGTCTGAAAAACCTTTTTTCAACCCCACATTTAAATTTTTGAAGACATTCCACTTCAACTACTTTGTTGGTTCTTGACTCAAGTTTTGCAACAGCAACAAAACTTTTCAAATACCTGCGATTCAAGCTGTCTTCCAAGCGAAACTTTTTTTGACCAAGCAAACACTTTATGAAACCTCGCCGGTCCGCAGAAAATTGTTCTGAAATTTGCACGTCCGCAAAAAATTTCATTGAAATTTGCCGGTCCGCGGGACCAAAAAGGTTGGGGAACACCGGAACACTGATAGATAGAGAATCTTAGGAGCTTCACCTGGCGATGGCGAAGTACAAAGCCAGAGCAGCGAGTGCCGATTCTCCTCCGGACAATTCGGAGAAAGGCACGGCTCTTTTAGGGCCGTATTTCACTTCGTACACAACACTTGCATTGTTGAAATCAGTCATTGCGAAGATCTCGCTGCAGTGCAAATGCGCATAAGCTGCCCGACTTCCGCTCAGAGTCTGCAATAATCAACATGCGTCATTTGACATTGATTCCAATAAATAACGAACGTATTTAAGATACAATATACCCTCGAGCCGTACACGGAGGACGATTTTTATTTCTCGAGATTTCGGCGGCAAGGCCGGGAGGTTGCATCCTGTACAGCACTTATTCCACGGTATCTTAGCACTGTATATGTCGAATATTAACAAACTGTTTGCGTCACATACTCACCATTGATGGCGACTGAGTTTTGCCTCTCATGAAGTCAACGTCTGACGAGTATACGAGGGTTCTAACAAAAGTTCTCGGAATAGAAATGAAAATGGCGCATAATCGAGCTGGAAGAAAATTTATTTCTTGGGGAAAACATATTCTTTGGCACACAAAAAATCAGTTCTGTTTGGAAATTTTTGTTTATGTTTTGCAAAATTCACCCTAGCAGAGTTTTGTTTTCCGGTCAAAAGATGAGGCGCCCTTCCTGCAGTTTA